AAAAAGTTCAAGACACAAATCAGGAAGATGTTAATTACCATCACACAAAACATGTATTTGTACATAATACTGAAAAATACTGACCACAAAATTGGAAATAAAAGTGTAGGTAAACCAAAACCCCAGCACCTCCAATGAGCAAGTATTTCTAAGAGAGAGCTGTCAGTTCCTTGCTTTTCCCTCAGAGAATTCAGTTTTGCACCTACCTGGCACCTGCAGGGTAGGGGATGGGCTGGTGCACTTTCACACCCTACAGCATGCTGGCAATGTCATCATCCTCTGCTGCTACTAATGGGAGGGAACCTGGGTGGGATCCCAGAGGGCACAGCCTCGGGGAGATGGAGCAGGCAATCCCTGATGGATATACAGCTGGGACTGTCCCAAATGGACACCCCAGGTGGAGAGATATTTAGGGCCCCCAAATACTGGCAGATGGAAGACACCCAGGCAGAGAGCAGGAGCCCAGAGTTCGAATCCTAGGGTCTCTCAACTTGCTGCAAGCCCTGGAGACTGCTTCTCCTTTCTGTATCTGTTTTACATGTAAAAGGAGAACCTTGACCTTGGTTCTCTGGACAGGCCCTTAGAGGTCGGGCATGCCGAGATGCTCTGATCATAATGAGTGAGAATCCGGTGTAGGGATAAGTCATCCTTTCGAACCACTTTGTAGCTAATAGCTCTAGAACCTTGTTTGGTCTTACTGATGTTTCAGGCTACTCAAGTGTGGGACACGTTGGAAGAGATTTCAAGTCTACAAAAGGAAATAGCAGTAACAGTGAGAAACAGCCAGAGAGTCACACCACCAGAGTTGTCACCTCTTCCCTCCCTGCCTTCCTCCCTTCCTTCCTTTTTCCTTCTCTTTCCGTCTCCCCTCCCCCCATTTCACACAGTAATGTTTCATATCTTTTTTAATTGAAAGAAATTACTTCAAATCCAATGGAAGTCACCCCTTCGCTTCCTCCTCCTGAACACTCCAGAAGCAGCCACCATCTGAACTTGATGCACACATCATCCCTATGTATATGTGAATACTGTTGCCATATCAACTATATGTACTGTTTGTGTTTTTAAACTTAACATGAATGATATCTGATTCGCTTTTGGCACACACCATTGTATTTTCAAGATGTGTCCAAGTTAATCCATTTAGGGGTATTCAATCAGGTAAGCAGCTCTTGGGCCCCCTCACATGCATAGACCCAATTTACTGACCAGTGGACATCTGAGTGTCCACCTCCCCGGGTACATGTGAAGGCATCTGCATTGGTCCACAGCCCTGGCTCTACACTGGAATCACCAGGAGAGGGGAGCGTTGAACCTGGTCTCATCCCAGGAGACTCTAACTTAACTCTGCTGGAGGGCAGCCTGGGTATCGGAACTATTAAAAGTTCCCCAGTAATTCTTATGTGCAGGCAAGGTTCAAACCATCACCTCCAGGGCCTCACTGCTCAAAGTGTGGTCCTGAGATCTTGTAGCATCAACATCACTTGGGACCTACTTCAAAACACAGAATCTCAGGTGCTGCTCCAGACCTGCATTTTCATCAGATCCTCAGATGATCCATGTGCAAGCACGGGGAGATGCTGGCCTGAAGGGAGGACCTAGATGTGCAATTGTTGGGGCGTTGGGCACGTAAATGTTTAATTTTTCCGGTTAGGATGAGATTTCCACCAATTTTGTGACACTCACACTCTCAACCAGCAATCAGTGCATAGAATCTGAAAACCAGGGAGCACTCTGGTTCTGTGCCAACTTGAAATGGCAGTGTTGACAGGAAGGTGTGTGCATTCCTGTGTAATCCAAACACACGGGAATGCTCTGTTAGTCCGTGAAAATAGAGTGTGTATATGGAAGGTTAACTTGTCCACCATTGAGTTCAGATGGCTCTTTGCCATTGGGTCAGGATTTGACCTTGGGGGATAAAATGGTCAAAACTCCAGACTGTTTTTATAAAAGATCTTCTTTCTTCTTTTTCTCATGGCCTGTCATAATTCCTCATTATAATGATACAGATCGTATTTAAGAATCCCCAATTCAAGCCCTTGTGCCATTCGGTTCTGTGTGGAGGACAGTCATGACCTCTCAGACAGAAGATCCTCCCGTCCACCATCCTCCCCAGGTCATTTTTCTTAAATCCCACCACCAGGTATTAGCCAAACCCTTTGTAATTGTGTTTTGTTTTGTTTTATTTTTGCCCTTAACAACCTAGAAGGACTATTTTGGGGGGGGCGGGGGGCTGGTAACCACTTCCTAGAAATCAGTTCATTCTGGGAATGCATTTTCTTCTCTTAATGGTTTAACTAGATATTCTAAAAATTATATATAAATATCTTCCCGAAAGTCACAGGCTTCATGTTAAAATGGTAAAATGACATCTTAGGAAGACAGCCAAAAAAAAAGGAAGCCTAATCTCTCTGTGGTCCCTTGGTGTGCTGCTAATTGGTTTCCCTTGCTAAGCCCAGGGCTGTCATGGCTCATTCAATTTTCCTTTCAGGGACTCATGGGCGAGACCCCAGGGGCCAATTCCTCGACCGGCATTGTTCTTATTACCAACATTCTCGCTTTGGGTTGGTGAAACGGCCATTCTCCTGTACTGTTGGCATGACTATAAATCACTACCACCTTTCCAATGAACAATTCGGCAATACATTTGAAACATCTTTAAAAAAAATATATGTGCATCGTCTCTGAACTAAAAATTCCGCTTCTAGAAATTTATCGTAAGGAAATAATAGAGGATGTGCGCAACAATTTATTTTCAAGGATGTTCTTTGTAGTGGTGTTTATAATAGCATAGCATTGGAAACACCCTAAATGTCCAACCAAAGAGAACTAGTTAAGTTGCGGCACATGTAGGGATGTTCCTGTGATACTTGGAAACTAAAATTATACTGCCGAATAGTTTGATAGGAAAAAATGCTCCAAGTGGATTAAATTGAAAAGTTTGAAAACATTATTGAAGCATAATTAAACTTTGCAAAGAAATGTAAATATATCCATGGAAAGAATTTTGGAGGGCTTGGCAGTAAGAGGTCAACTGTTGTCTCTGGGGAGAAGGTGATGGAGATTTTTAGATTTTTTTCTTTTTCACTAAACTGTATTTTCTCTTTTTCTCTCCAATAAACATGGTACTTAGGTTAAAAAATTGTTTATAAAAATATATTCTTCTCTGTTTCGAAGTCAAAACAACATCTTACAAAGGATTTAAATACATTTATAGATATTGGGACCTATTTTGAAATATATATATTTTATATATTTTAATATATATATATATAAAGAGGGCACATGATGTGATGAGAACTGGCTGTTATACGCAACTGATGAATTACTGAACACTACATCGGAAACTAATGATGTACTATATGTTGGCTAATTAAATAAATTATATGTATATATATATTTGTTAAAGTGTTTTTATAAAACTTTCAAGGGTATAAAATTTTAATCTCCCTTTCTTATGCAGTTTACTAATGGGGATTTCTTCCTTTGAAAAGAATAAAGTTACACAAGGTTGTGTTACTTCTGTTACCTTTTTGGGAATGGATCTCCAAATCCCTGCCCTATAAGTTTACAAGCAAAGAATAT